TTTTTCTACAAACCTTTTTCATAACATTTTCTGTGGTACTCACTCTCTACAGAATTTTCCACTCCATCTATATGCCATCTATAGAATTTTTCTATACCCTCTATAGAAATTTATATAGGCACATTTGCTATAGGTTTTTCTATAAACCTTTTTCATAACATTTTCTGTGGGACTCACTCTATAGAATTTTCCACATCATCTATATACCATCTATAAAATTTGTCTGCGCAAGCTATAGAATTTTTTATAGAAACCTTTTCTATGAACTTTTCTATATCACCTTTTCTCATAATATTTTTTTTAACGTGAAAAATTGATGTTCTTCCAGACAATATCAAACCAATCGAGCTACCACGGAGATGGAATGCGGGTACAACACTTGTTGGAAAAACGGGAATAATTACCGGCTGGGGTAACATCGCAGCAGACAGCGCAATACAGGACTTGAAATGGGGCGCAGTACCAATAATCAGCAACCGGGAGTGCTCCGGCTACTGGCGGCAAGTGGGCAAAAAAACTATTTGCACTGCAGCAAGGGCGCCAGCTATTTCATGCGGGGGAGACAGTGGTGGTCCTCTTGCGCTTGGAACCGACAGCGGCCCGATGCTAATTGGTATCGTCAGTTTTAGTGGCGACTCTTGTTCGGGTACAAAACCCGTTGTTTTCACACGGGTTTCCTCGTACGTACGATGGATACAAGAAGTCACAAATGAGATGTTTTGAGTCCCTGGACCACACCTCGCGTCTCACATTACCCAGAAATTTACCCAATGAACTAATGACTGACGTATACTTTTAGATTTAATTTTATAATTTTAATTTTACTTGATAATTTTAGTATTACTCAATAATTTTAGATTCACTTGACAAGAAAAATGTAAATAAGTGTGGAAACAATTACCGACTGACGAAAAAATGTAAATATGTATTGACACAATTGCCAAGTTATGAACAAATGTAAATAAAGAAATTTAAACAGTTGAATCCTTTCTGTTTATTTATTTTTATTAGTCGTTTCCATTTTTTATTGTTTTCTGTTACTCGTTTGGAAAAATACGGCTGTGAGTCAATAAGTCGATGAGATAATCGCGGGCATAAGGAAAGTGGTAAAAATAGATAGTAATGAGTGATAGGGGGAATTCCCAGAACATCTTCTTTCTCTCTCATTAGCTCGTAAAAAAGTCGACGTAATTTCAACGAGTTCCACAATAATCGCAATATTATAAATGAAAAAAAAATAGAGTATACTATACGTAAACAATTTGTATGATAGAATCAAGTATGATAGAATCCGAACAGAGGTGGGACTAGCAGACAATTTTGAAGACTGTTCAAATGGAGCCAACTGTTATCTGAAAATTGAGAAATTTCTTAAAGAAACCAAACTCATGAATAAGATCGGAAACATATAGTATATGGAAGTCACCATTCTGAGCCCATCCAGTCATTGTATTCTCATGTATATATCTTTATCTAAAATTAAATTAAAATTAAATTAGAACAAATCGCCGTCAATTTCCAAGAAGGTGAGGGTCAACGGTTTACTCAATTAATGACTAGGTCTTATTCTCAAATTTCTGATAAATGGTTAATAAATTGAATTTAATACTCCCCGAAGACGGAACACAGGTGACAACACTAATGACAAAAATATAGTCTAATGGATAAAAAATGGATTGAAAAAGCCCAAAATGAATCCATTACGTTGATGATGAACCAATTTCTCGATGAGTGTCATCATATTAATCGGCCTTCAAAGATCATCAAATGATGACACAGTTTTGACTCTCGTCCATTTATAAACGGGAGCTCCCAAATGTTCTTCAATTTGTGAATCGAAGGGCTGGAGAGAACTACGGCATGAATTTCTGAAAAATTGAATCATGGAATTTCAAAGAATAATCCGCATAAACACAATAATTGGAATTTCTATCTTGTATCTGAGTGTCTGCGCGACATCTTCAACAACACCTCCGACCAAATTACCATCTAACGAGACTGGTAAGTTGCACTCTTCTATACGCATATGTGTTGCACATCGTATTTGAAATTGGGCTGAAATATTCGTAGTGATATTTTTTCTTGTGCGTTTTAAGGGGAGACTACTATGAATTTTCAAAGTCGTATGGGTTATTGGAATGACTTTTCATACGTTGAAGATCGATTATATAGATCTGAAAACGAATAATTGGTGCAAAAAAAATTTTTGTTGTTGTTCGTTTGCCCGAAAACGCTTAAAATGCCAAAAACAGGCCGGGGCCTTCAATTTTTGAGCCACGAAGGATTTTTTGTTTTCAAAATTTTCGGGCTAGTAATTACGAGCTAGTAATTACGAGCTAGTTTTTTTTTAATTCGCCTCTTACATGCCTAAATTTTCTGTTTTTCTATTTTTTTACATAAATAGTGAATTTTTTTATATGATAAAAACCGAAATCAGCTGTATAGGATTCGAATTCCAAAAAACTGACTCGTAATTGTTGTCTCACACATTTTTCCGAAAATGTTGAAAAAAAAAAATCTTTTGTAGCTCAAACATTGGAGGCCCTGGACTATTTTTAACATTTTAAGCGTTTTCGGGCAAATGAACAATAAACAAGATTTTTTTTGCACTAATTATTTGTTTTCAGATCTATATAATCGATCTTCAACGGTTGAAAAGTCTCACTCCAATAACCCACAACTTTTAAAACTCAGTAGTCTGCCCTTGAGGGAGTTTTAAAAGTCGCGGGCTGTTGGCATGTGATTTCTCATACATTGAAGATCGACTATATATGTCTAAAAAAGGACAATTAGTACAAAAAAATTAATTGTTTATTGATCGATTGTCTCGCAGACGCTTAAAATGTTAAAAATAGTTCAGGACCTGCAATTTTTGAGCTAGAGGTTTTTTTCAACATTTTTGGGAAAATGTGTAAATAAGAATTACACATTAGTTTATTAAAATTCAACTGTTGCACAGCTAATTTCGTTATTTTTTAAATAAAAAATTGCACCATTCATGTAAACTAGCCCGAAAAAGTGTCAAAAACTACACTGAGAAAAAACATTTCTAATATCTAAAACATATTGTCTTGAGACAAGTAAATTTTCTTCAATTGCTTAATTCCCTCAGGCATCTCAACTTACATCACCCGAGAAAGGCCTCATGCTTTAAAATATTCTTGTACTCACGTATGATTTTGTCGCAAATGAATTTACTTAAATCACGCAGAAGAATCGTCAATCTTCTAGTCTTTCTTGTTTTCATGATTTTTTCGTTATGCACTTCCAATATTGCAATATGTAAAATATTCATGACGTAACGCGGAACGATAGTGATGAATGAAAATTTATTCGAGTTCCGTGAAGCGCACATATTCTGAGATTTGAGCCGTTGAAAATAATTTACTTCTCTCAAGAAAATATGTTTCAGATATTAGAAATTTTTTTGTCAGTGTATATTACCCACGGGGAGAAATATTCAATAAAAATTACCAGAAAAAATACGTAAAAATTACGTTTCGAAACGTAATCTGGGAGCGAAGTAAAATTCAATAAAAAGTGTCAATCATCACGTAAATTCTACGATCTGTTCCGTAAAAATTACTCATCCGTCCGACGCCTCACGGCTAGCCATGAGTCACCGTTAGGGGGAGATTTTAACAACACGTTCCTTCCAGAAAAATTACGTGACTTTTTCGTATTTTTTCGGTGACAGACCCGAAAATTTACTGAACGTTTCAGATTTATTTTCTTATATTCCTATAGAAATTCACTGAAAACGATTCTCGCCTGCGGATTACGTGAAATGTTCCGTAATTTTTCTTGAATATTTCTTTCCGTGCCGCTTCGCTGAATTTGGCTATAATTCGACGTAATTTAACGAAGAAAAAATAAAAAAATTCCATGAAATATGCTTGCTCTTGTAATGTCATCATATTGGCACCCTATCTTATTGAGCTGATCATTTCCGGTTCCTCAGAGTTTACACCAATCGTCGGCGGTCAATATGCGAAACCTGGACAATTTCCATGGATGGCTGTGGTATATCACCTATATTGGGCAGGCCAGTTCGGCAACTGCGGTGGAAGTATAATATCAGAGAGATGGGTACTCACTGCTGGCCATTGTGTTGTTGGCGGCCCACGAAGATACCTCGTGGTTGTTGGAGAGACTGACAAGAGAAAAATCAGGGGCGAGAGGTACCTAGGCCAAGGGGTCGCGATGATAACGACAAAAGTAGTGCTCCATCCACAGTACCATTTGACTAACAACGATATTGCATTACTATACATGCCACAAGAAATTAAATTTGGACGTAAGTTTTTAATGAAATGCACGGAGAGAAATATTCAGTAAAAATTACGGAACAATTCACGTAATCCGCAGTGGGGAATAGTTTTCCGGCAATTTTTATAGCAATGGAAGAGAAGAAATCTGAAACGTTCAGTGAATTCTCGGGTTCATCACCGAACAACGTACGAAATTGTCACGTCATTTTTCCCGAAGATGTAAAATCTTACAGAAACTTTCCGACTTATTATGCCTCAAAAATTAAAACAAACAAAACGTAATTTCAATAACGCTAAATATTCATGAATTTGTTCAAATTTTTCTCACGCAATTTAGGGATGGAAAATGGTTGAAATGCCGATATTCTTTCAGAAAATATCAACTTAATCGGACTAGCAGGGCCGAGTTATGCGGGTGACACATTTGTTGGAAAACGGGTACTAATTGTTGGGTGGGGCCTCACCGGATATTCCTTATCAGAAGACTTGAAATGGGGCAAAGTGCCAATATTAAGCCAAAATCAGTGCTCACGCTACTGGTATCAAGCGAATGCAAATCATATTTGCACTGCACCGATGACTGGAACTGATGCATGCGTAGGAGACAGTGGTGGCCCGCTTGTGATTGGAACCGACCGCGGCTCAATGCAAATTGGTATTGTCAGTTTCGGTGATAACAGATGTCCGAGCTCGATACCCGGTGTTTTCACACGGGTTTCCTCATTCATAGGATGGATACAACGAGTGACATCGCAACAGTTTTGAATCCCAGGACCACGTCTCGTTCTAATATTATCCAGAAATTTATCCATTTATTTATTTAGTGATACTGTCATTTATTTATTTAATAGGTACTGTCTAGCGTATCTATAATACTATCATTATAATCCTATTTTACATTTACTTAAAAAAACGAAGAACATGTGAGCAAGTATTGAAATAATCACAAAATTATGAAAAAATGAAAATGAAAATTGAAAAAATTTATTCCCTTTTATTTCTTTATTACCATTCCTCGTTTCCAACACCAAAGGCCCATCGATTAAATTCGAATATACGTAATCAATGCTTTTTTTTTATATTTTCTTTTTGGGATTCTTTATCAATACCTGATGGCTCCTTTAAGAACTTAGTCACCTCATTGAGAGAAATTGATATCTTCACAATGAAAATGTGCTTACGCGAATTTTTATTTGATTTTATTTTATTATATCCATTAGAAATTATTAAACTGACGGATGTAACAAGAAAGGACCACAGGAATAGAGCAGCCAAGACCCCATGCTTATACGTTCTTACATCAAAGTAGTACATAGTACCCTTGAACTTACGATTTCAAGAGAAAAAAAATTGAACGAAATAGTATATTTCGTGTCGAGTGCCACTGGGCTTTTCTATTCATTGGATTTCTATTTTTTTTCTAAATATTCGTCTCGATGTTACCACCTATCAAGTTCTCTTAAGGGAAAAGAGAACCCCTGGTCTATATGAATTATTAGAATTGTGTTCTCTTCTACAATTATTACTTTATATCTATGAAATTACTTTATCGACTCAATCGTTGCATTGTTGATTCAATGAAATAGTTCCATAAATTAAAAATAATAATTGCAGGAGAAAACACAATTCTAAAAGTTCATAGAAACGCAGGGGTTCCGTTTCACCTTAATATAGTGAAACATATTGCATTACTTCGGTATTTTGGGTTCTCGGAATTTGCATTTACAAACGGACCCTTCTTCGCGGCGAGAGAGCGAGAGCGCTGAGTCAGAAAGAGATGCGTGCGGAGGCAATGGTGGGGGAACGAGCCGGTAAGTGGCCTGCGCCTGACGTCCGCGCGCATTGGAAAAGAGCGAAAGAGAGTGGAGAGGGAACAATCAGTGAGGGGAATTGCAATGGTGGGGGAACGTTTCCCCTCGTGCGGTGGGACGTGGTGCACTTACGAAGGTGATCAGTTATAGCAGTCCCATTGTAACGCATAAAGTACCGGTCACTAGTTTGTGTTGGATAAGCTGGAACCCCTCCTTGTTTTTTTCTTTAATTAGAGAAATCCACCAAAGAACTCGAAAAATTCAAGTGAAGGAATGTCAGCAGGCAAACAAGGCAATTGCATTGTCGTCCATTAAGCATTTGTCCTTTAATGCTGGCCCCCCACGTCGCAGATAATCACCCATTTTACGCTAATGAGGGAAAATTTTGGCCCTCATTAAGGTACAAATTGGAGAGCCCAAAGGGCGGAGACCTCAATGCATGTATCGAAGCGCTGAGGAGTACTCCTGCACAAATTTCCACGGAATTGAATCATGGAACTTCAGAGAATAATCCGTAGAATCGCGACTTTTGGAATTTGTATCTCGTATCTGAGTGTCTGTGTGATGTCTTCACCAATACCTCCGGCCGAATTAAAGAATAACAAGTCTGGTAAGGTGCATTCTTATTTGAAATTTTTGTATTTGTATTCCTTCTTTTGCATCCGGATGGAAGCTTTGTAATCGTTCAAATTTAAGTTTCATATTTTTTGAATTTTTTCTATTTGTCACTAAATGAGGTCTAAAAAGTTCAATTACGCGATTTTTAGATGGTGTCTGTATGTGGTTTTTTTCGTGAGTGGCTCTGAATGCAGAATTATTTCACAGGACAATATAATACGCTAAATTTTAATGACATTTCAATTGATGATAGTACTATGCCCTGCAAAAATAGAAGAAGCGAATAGTGAAATAAGAATTTACAAAAGAGAATACATTCGGAAGCGAATTGCTAATTTACAAGCAACAATAACTATACTTATTTATTTAAAAAATTCAGTTGTCCACTTGTTTCATTCCGAATGAAAATATTCAGTCGCTTTTTCAACAACTCATTGTAAATGTATAGAATCAGATCATTTGTAAATTTTATCATGAATTTAGACATAATTTGACACAAATAATCGAGAAAGAAAATAAAAAAATTCCACGAAATATCCTTGCCCTTGGAATATCGCTATATTGATACCATATCTTGAGCTAATCATTGTCCTATTTCCAGAATTCACACCAATCGTCGACGGTCACTATGCGAAACCTGGACAATTTCCATGGATGGCTATGGTACATCAATTATTGACGAATGCGCATCATATAATCTGTGGTGGAAGTATAATATCAGAGAGATGGGTACTCACCGCTGGTCATTGTATAGTTAAAGACCCACAAAAGTACCTTGTAGTTTTTGGAGACATTGATAGCAGAAACATCGTTGGTGCCAACTACCAAGGACCAGGGACCTCGATGATAACGAGAAAAAGTGTGCTCCATCCGCAGTATAAGGAGTATGAGATTGATATTGGATTACTCTACATGCCGAGAGAAATTCATTTTGGAAGTAGGTTTTAATCAAACATATCGGCGACCCCTAATGATGTCTATAGAATTTTCTATAAATACCTTCGATATAATTAGCTGTAGCAATATTTTCAATAGATTTATTTATGCAACCTTTCTCGTATGATTTACTAGTGGAACTATCCCATCTATAGAAATTTCTATAGGGATATTTTTTATTTACTTTTTCATATAGACTTTAATAGAATTTTCGTATTTATAGAATTTTCTACTCACCCTTTCTATAGAATTCTCTATAGAAAGTGCCTTTTTGACGTGGATACCTCTTTAATTTCCAGTGCTATCTGTCGGAATTCTAGAAACTTATAGATTTTTCCAGAAAATTCTCCGGTTTTACAGAAAATTCAGGGACATTTCCAGGTTTTATGAAAAATTTGAGAACTCTCCGGTGTTCTAGACAAATCGAGAAAATTTTGCAGATAATTCGAAGAAATTCTTCGGTTTTATAAACAATTCGAGAAAGTCCTCTGGTTTTCGAAAAAATTGGAGGGAATTCTCTGGTTTCACAGATAACTCGGGAAAGTTTTCTGGTTTTCAAGGAAAATCGGAAACATTCTCCGGTTTTCTAGAAAATTTGACAAAATTCTCTGATTTTATAAAAATTTCGGGAAAGCCTTCCAATTTTCGAGGAAATTTTCAGGCTTCACAGAAAATTTCGGAAAAATTCTCCACTTTTCTGGAAAAAAAAATCGAGACAATTTTCCGGAAAATTAAAAAAAATCTTGAATTTTCTAGAACATTCGTCAACGAACCCGCACTCGAATAACAACCTAGACGTGTCCACGTTAACCCTATCGGTCACCTTATGATGGAAACCCTGCCGCGCGTCGTTTTTCTTTAATTACAATTGACTGGCTAACCGGAAAAATTGGAAAAAATTCGACCTTGTCAATTGAAGTGTCTAAAAAATTATACTAGTTTTTCGAACAACAGATTTTCCAAAATTCCTGAAGAAAACAAAATATTTCGGACAGATGAATTATTTTTTCCCATGTTAAATGAAATTGCCCACGACGCGACGTTGCCGGAAACTCGCTCAACGCGCCCGAGCAGTGTATAATAAATTCGGCAACGCTAAAGCCTAAACGGCAGCGGATTCCCGCGGAGGTGACCAAGTGGCAGGGTCGCGTCTGGTGACCAGACTAGGGTTAAATCTAACTCCTGTGTCAGAGATACAGCCACTTAAGATTTTCCAAACATTAAACATCGGCATTCTTCCAGGGAATATCCAACAAATCGCATTAGCAGGGCGTAGCTATCAGGGTCACTCATTGGTTGGAAAAACGGCATTAATTGCTGGCTGGGGTTATACCGGATCAAAAGACTCAGTGCCAAAGTTGAAGTGGGGCGAATTATCGATAATAAGCAACGAAGAGTGCTCTGGCAGGTGGAAGGTGCACAGCAGTCAGATTTGCACTGAACCAGGGGAGTCAGGTGATGTGTGCCAGGGAGACAGTGGTGGTCCTCTTATGCTTGGCACCAAGGATGGTCCAGTCGTAATTGGTATTGTCAGTTTTGGCGATAAATTTTGCCCGAGTTCAGCTCCCGGTGTTTTCACACGGGTTTCCGCATTTATAAAGTGGATAAGACAAGTTACAAGAAGAAAACCTGAAGTAACTCAATCACTTCGCTATTATATTACCAAATAAGGTACTGACTGATGTGTACTGTTACACGCACGAAAAAATTTAATAGAAAAACCTAGCGAATTCGCTAGACAATTCTAATGGATTTCTTTGGCTCAAATTTCCCAAGTTTTTTCTTTTCTATTTTTCTGCACCTGTCATCAAGAAAATGAAACAAAAAATTTTTGAAAATTTGAGCAGAAGAAATTGTACGGAAAATATCTCATCAGAATAAGTTGTATAGAAAAATAGGATTTTAATGACTTTTCCTACAGAATATTTTCTATTGAACATTCTAATAGAAGCGACCAAAAACTAATAGAATTTCAACAGAAATCCAAAAGAATTGTCCAGCGAATTTGCTAGGTTTTTCTATTAAATTTTCTCATACGTGTATTTTAGCCTAATATTATATTTACCGTACATACGTACACATATACATTATATTTGAGGGTTATATTAATCCTCAATCACTCGCGCTCGGTCCGTCATCCGTCGCACGGTTAGTGCGGCGCCGCTGGGTTAAACCAAGCTGTTGCCACGTTGGCGCTTACCGCTACGTGCGCATTTCAAGCCTGGCAGTGAATGTAGCAACACTGTCGCTCGTGCGGTCGACAAGGACTCACTCGCACCGGACAGCGCGGCGCCACTTTTCTGTCCATTAGACGTTTCCTTTCTTTTTTCTAGCTAAACACATTTTCCGAGAAAAAAGGGACAGCGCCAGCGCTTAATAAAGGCATTGAACTAGCTCTAATTTCTTCAGAATTTTTAAGAGTCCAGTAATATGCTAAAATATAAATAAGCTAAAGTATAAAAAATGTAAACAACTATTGAACTAATGACGAAGTTATGAAAAAAGGAACAATTGACTCCTGTTCATTTCTCCATTTTCATTACTTATTTAAATTTTTTTATTTTTTTTCTGTTCATCATTTTGAGAACTGTTCTTGTGAATCAGACTAACAAATCGAAGAGATAACCGCGCGCATAAGGAAATTGTTAAAAATAAATACTGGTGAAAAATATGAGAAATCCCAAGAATATTTCTTTTCTTTCTTATCAAGCTCATTAAAAAATCGACGTCACTGAAACGAGTTTCACAACAATCGCAACATTACGAAAGTACATCAACGTACTATGCGTAAAAATATATTTACGACCTTTTCAGATAACTGAATAAATAATTAAATATATAAATTTATATATACATCTGTATACTTTTCTGCAAATAAACAATTATTACTTAAAAAATATATAAATAATATTAAAGCGATAAATTTATTTCTCCATATAAAAAGAAAATGAGGAGGTTCAAAAATTCAGAAGACGCTCCCGATTCTGGCCCTGATGCCATTGAGAATGAATTATTAGCTCTATCTCTCTAATAGGTTTATATCTCTGTTTCAAATCCTTGAAAAATAATAATAAGAGTATATTTCAGTAGCGAAGTGGTACAAGGAGATAAGTGCATTTTCTTCGAAATTAGTAATAATATCATAATAATGTCTCTAAAGATGATGTCTGTTTAATAATATTATTATATAATAATATTATTGCCATTTGAAAATTAATATTTCATTGTGATTCACAAACATTTTTTTTTTTTTTTGAATGTACTTATCTCCTGTTACCGCTACTTCCGCTGCTGATTTCATAGTATTCTATGTAAGAAAATGAAAAAACGATTTTTGTTGTATAAACGAACACTGAAATACAGTAGACTCTCCTTAATTCCCACAGCTCGGGGGGTGTCCTTGAAGCCATTTCATGTGAAATGTGAGTAAAGGCGAGACCCCCACTCCGCCAGTTCAGGGGGGGGGTAGAGAAGGGAATAATGGGGAGGATTGCGGCAGTGGGAGGGAAGGAACTTAACCTTCTGTGACCCACTACGCACTCCGCAGCGCATGACGTCACTGAGAAGGATAAACGGTAAATGTGGAGTGGGGGGAGGATTTTGAGGAGAAGCAGGCCTCGAGGGGAATGAGTGCGAATTATGGAATGGGAGAATTAAGGACGTACTAAATCCTCAATTCTACTACTTTCGACCAAAATTCACGTTTTTCTTTCATTTTTCTGGCAAATTATTGATCGGATTGACGCGAAATAATAAACCGTTTTTGAGTTTTATTATTATTGACTGACTCACGAAGTTTCATGATAGTGCAATCATTTTCCTGAATTTTTTCTAAAGTTTTGTGAATTTCTGATGAGTTTTAGACCAAACGCAGGAAAATGATTACACGATCATGAAATTTCGTGAGTCATTGAGTAATTATGAAACAAAAATGGTAGGGGAGGGTGGGGCAAAACGGACATATGTTTGTTGAAACGGTTATACTGATAATTAACACCATGGAATGTCTTTCTCGGACCACAGAATGACTATCTAAAGTGATAATCGCGTTGGCGAAAGTTATTTAATTATTATCAGAAAACCGACTGCAATGGTTAGGTGGATGAGGTGTTGCTCCGGCGGACATCCAAGCTAAGCAGCGTTGAGCTGGGTTAGTACTTGGATGGGTGACCGCTTAGGAACACCGCGCTCGCACAAAAATTGCGGGCGGTAGGTAAGATCCGATCAATTAGCCCCTCATGTATAGATATTCCAAATTTTTATTTTTTTCCTCATTGAAGTAGTTTTGAAGAAAATTGCGAGCTAATAAAAAACATTTGCTAGTTAGTACTTTTTT